GATGCAACGAGAGGCTATGTTTCTGAAGCAGAGCCCTCAGAAGCCCCATTCCCGAAAAGGTGTCCGAGCTGGCATGAAGGTCCTGGTTGAAATCACCGCCGACGATGACCATGGCCTCGCCACCTGTATCCTGCAGTTGAGAATCCAGTAGCTCCAAGGTGTCCTTCCAAACCTCCTCTGCAGAAGATCGTGGTTTAGCTTCGGTGCTGACCCGTTTACTGTGGGGCAAATGCAAACATGCCAAATGAATTCGGTGATTCCGACATGCACCATGCAGGACAAGACCAACGGGAAGCCCCGACTTGTGTGTCGCATGGAATTCCAGTTCGGTTTTGACAAGAATAGCCTGGTTGAGGTGTGCTTCGGGCGCGCTGCAGTGATACATCTTGTAGGGTACAGACCCAAAACAAAAATCCGAGACCTGAACCTCAGGAGTGGCCCCAGGACAAGCACCTAATTCCTGCACAAAAAGAAAGTCAGGGCATGGGACAGTCCCCTGCCACAGATCAGCAACCTCACGGAGACTTTTACCATGAAGATTCCAGGTACATGCTACGAATTCGGGTTTGAGGGGTCGCCCTCGTTTCCTGTTCCGGCCACCCTCCTAGGGGGATCCTGACGCCTCAACCTCGAAGTGTGTATGCAAGACCTTGAGATCAATCCCCAAAGTTCGAGCGAGAAGGGGACCCGGGACCCACCATCCCGTTTCGTGGCCCCGTACATCAAGCAACAACAGAGCCCCATCATCCGGACGTTTCTGGTCCACGTGGGCAAGCACACTGACCCCATTAGCCCAGAACCTTCCACGCCAGTCAAACTCAAAGTCCCTGGGGGGCAAATGTTTGGCAACAAGAGCCTTGAGGGACACTATGGCTCGAATACGGGCTCTCTCCTCAGGACTACGGTTTCGCTTTGCCCAAAGTGCCCCCGTCCCTTGCCCTGGAAGGGAGCTTGGCTGAGCAACTGCTCGGAGGGCCTCAACACACATGCCTTGGACCTTACGTCGTTCTGCCATGGCATCCTGCATGTACAGCAAGTCGACCCTACACGTGTTGGAACGCACCGAGCTGCAATGCATGGCCTGCAGGAGAGGGCCACACTCAGCTCTCGTGAACCAGTCTCTCACTTCTTGTTCGATGTCCTCGCGTTTCGCATCCTTCCAACCGCCTAAAACAACCTGCCAATCATCATGCGCGGGATTCCCACGAGCCCCACGAGGTGAATGCGTCGGAGTGTATGCTGAGGTGACACTAGGAGACCTAGAGCGAAAATCCCTCATCTCCTGTTCCATAGCCGCCAAACGGAGCTCAAGAGCCGCAGTTCGTTCTAAGTGCGAATCCTGCCTCGACTCCAAAGACTGCACCTTATCTGCTACTCCCTGAATGGAATCTCTAGTGACCTGGATGGCCTGCATCTGCTCGTGTTGTCCTCGATGAAGCCGGTCGATGCCCGCCTGAAGTGAGGCTGCCCACGGCGGGGGGACATCATCACCAATGTCGTACTCCTGTGGCAGCGGGCGTTTGTTCTTGTCGGGGGGGACAGGCCCCCCCCCAAAAAGGGGAGGGGGTTGCAGCCCCACTGGCGGTCCTTTGGCGGCAGCGGGATCGAGGGTCGGAGGTCGTGCTTTCTTTTCGGGGCTTGTTTTAGGCGAGGACTTGGGGGCTCGGGTGGCTTGGTGTTTAGCAAGGAGATTAGCGGCCACCGCTGCTGCTTCAGCCTGCTTGGCTTCAGTTTCCGCCAGCCCCACCCCTCTCCCCGGTCCAGGATCACACGGCCCACCCACGGCATCCCCCAAGGCGGCCCGGAGCGCATCCTGGGCCGCTTCTTGCATAACCATGTCGGGCTGCTCGGCCCCCAGAAGAGCCCCTGAGCTAATTGGCGTCCCAGCGTCATCCAACCCCCCCCCCCCCCCTCCAGTTGTTCGGAACGGTGCAGGTGGGGCAACAGGAGCGTACTTTCGTCCGACCCCGCCATCCCGACGAACGACGACACGACGAGAGGGACTGGTGGAGTAATGCACCCGGGAGGCCTCAGAACAGGACTACGAGGAGGAGGAGAGCTCAAGCCTGCCCGACGCGGCCCGGAAGGCGCGACCGCGCTCCAGGGGCACACACGCCAGCTGACGGCGGACTTGAGCCAAAATGGCTTGAGCCAAAATGGCTACGGCATCGAGTTTAAGGTTTTGGGTTTAGGGCTCCCATAAAGGTACTGTGCTCTCAGCGCTTCTTTAAAGGGGGCGATGGGGATCTATGGGTTGGTATCAGGGGGCCTCCTTTGAGGGCTTTTGGGTTTACGCTCTCGCAACTCGGATGGGGTTTCGGGTTTTCAAGGGCTTGAACAGCGTCAAGGATTCAGGGCTGGTGGGCTTTGGGGTTCTAGCACTGGGACTTAAAACTCTGGGCGATCTTTGAGGGCTAACTTGGCGAGTGGAAAACGGTGGTCTTTGGAGCTCTTAAGCCTTTCATTAGGGCTGACGGACGCTGGGTGCTCCTCTTTCATGGGTTTCAAGGTTTGGGGCTCTAGGTCGGTGCCCACAGTGTCCGCTTTTTTGGCTTCCTGCTTTGCTCGGCAATGCTTGGGTTTTGCGGGCTCTGGGGGATTCAAGCTCGGGACGTTGATGGTTTGGGGTTCAGGTTTCTTGTTGTGGTGCGCCGGTAGCACAGGGCTAATGCAAGGCTGCTTGAGGGTGTTTGAATAGGCCAGCAAGTGTTCGGTAAAATCCTAAATCAGCCGCATGCACTTGAAGCCTGACTCAGGAGAACGAAGAGCGTTCACCCAAACTCCCTAAGCCTAAAAAGACTCCGCGCCCTACGATGTCGCAAGAAAACCCTCTAAGCTCTACAACCACCTAAAGGTACAAAAGAGCAAAGACTAAACCATCCTAAACCGATCGAAGCCTGAACTTGGTAGCTGGGAGGGGCGGATCTCTGCCATGGCGCTTAGCCGGATTCGGCACGATTCGGACCGCAACACCGGAACAGGGCCCCGGGTCCCTACTACTTAGGACCTCAATAGTGGGGGTAGGATTTTGGTTTTGCAGTTTCACGGTCCATTCATCCATTCTCTTATATAACGTTTTAGGGACTGTAATAAAGGACTACTAATGCAAATTTTTCAAATCTCTACAGTAAAACCTTGCGATCTCTCTCATGCGCGAATGGGTCTTCTTTAGAGACAACCGTGGCTTCGGTGCAGGTGGAAGGCCATGTGCTGCGATCAAGAGCTCCGAATCCAGCAGCATGACATCTGCAATGATGTAGCATCGCGTTTCCAAGCTAAGGAGCAAACGTTACGTTGTCCTATGCCTATGCGGTCCAATTGCCTCCAGTGGCCTTCCTCTGTCGGATACCGGATGACGACACATTGCCGTGCAGGTCCGTGTATTCCCTCCCCCCGACCAGATCCTGCATGCACGCCCCTGAGTTGCAGTTGGCAAACTCTCTCGTGCAGAACTGGAACCATTCTCAAACGACGGCATTTTTCCCATCATAATTCGGTGTGATGGTCCGCCAGCTGCGACGCATCCCAGCCTGTCTAGACAAAGACCAAGCCTTAGCTTCGTCTGTTCAGCCTTCAGTTCCTTGGTAGGCTCTTAGCTCTTAGCGCTGAAATCCTGCCTGCAGTCCGCATCTGCTGTCGCTTCGCAGACGTAAGAGCGCTGGAAATGGAGAGCCTCGGCCGTTAATTTTGGACTCAGTCGGTCATCATCTTGCTATGTTGCAATGAGCTCATGGGAGAAGCCCCAACAGATCCGAAAATACTAACGTACTACTTCTTGCAGACCTTCCAGCACGGCGTTCGTGAAACTCAAGATGAATCGAACTACGGTCTAAAGAGACCAAGATGTCAAAGGCAGGAACGCCTGTTGCTGCGCACCCGAAAATGCCTGAAACCACCCATCTGCTCAACTGAAGACTCAGGCACAGACCTGAACCCCAGTGAACACAATGCCTTCAACTCCCAAAACCGTGGAAACCAAGAGAACCTCTCCCCAAGCCCATACTTTAAAGGTCATGAAACATTCGAATCACCTTTAAGCTCAGCAGGTACGTAAAATTTGCACACTCCGCAGCACTACACTGCAAAGCCCTTTACTGCAAAGCACCGAAGGCCAGCTCTTGCTTAGCTTTCTCCTCCATATGGGAGTTTCCGAACATAGGGGACCCCAATCTAGCAGTAGCATCCTAAATAATAGGATCCTTGTAGAAAGGACCCCAAAACAAGGTACCCCTAATTTTCGGAAACTCCCATGTGGCCCCTTGGACAGCCCTGACCCGAGCATCCTGCAGCAAAGAAGCGCCGTCCTCCGGGCACGTACGTGCCTCCAGGCTGAATCTTTCTGGCTTGCTGTCGGCAAGATGTCCACACTTCACACTTCAAACGTTGTGATGCAACAAACTCCAACCATGCTATCGTGTACAGCATAGAGCTGTTCATGCTTCGGTGAATGCAGCTGACATCGCAAGTTTTCCGACAGGCAATGACTCAGTATCGAGCATGGGTCGTCGACCCGTGTACCTCAAGATCACACAGGCAAGATCTGGACACATATTGAACACGTGAACACACACAAACAATCACGCACCTGCTGAAAAGCATGCACGCAGTGATATGCACAAATGTCCAACAAGATGTGCTATCATGGCCCGTGGCCTTAAATTAAACATGGGAGCACGCATTCGCAAACTGTCGCACCTGACCGAGGGGGGCACGACAGGGACGAGCCGACAGTCTTGTCCCACTTCCCAAATCATGACCTGCAGCCAGCTGCATCGCGAGAGGTCAGTGCTTACCACGAATTTCGGGACATTAAGTGCCACTTGCGCACCAACTTCCCAACCCGAGCCGGGACATCTCTGCTGATACACGCAATCGTCCAGTGTAATATTAAAGATGAGATAGACATTATTATTATACAAAATGAGTATTCGTTCTAATTCTATTTCATCAAAATCACCTGGCAGCACCAGAGCACGGCGACGAAAGGCGGCGCACAAACATCAACAGCTGCAGCCCCTGAATTGTTGGCAAGGTGCACCGCCCAAACCTTGCTTCAAGGCATAGAGCGTCTTTTCCCGGATAGTATCCACCTCACAACAGGGTAGGAACACCAAACTCACAATGTACGGCAGAAATGGCAAGCTTGGCGTTGCGCAAGGCGTGATCATGCTTGACTTGGCCGTGTTTGCCGAAGAAGCTGAGCAAAACGCGCCGTTAAAACCAATCGATCCTGCAAAGCAGAGAAAGAAGTATCACGTCACCTGTGCTGGTTGACAAGATCTGAGGCACATCCTTGACCCGCTGCTGCTACAGAATCCGCTTTGGGATCCAGTGGCCAGTGTTTCTGTACCTTCGACATGACTCCGCATGCTCTCCCAGCTGCGGTGCAACAATGCCTCACGCACTTGCGAGCGTCCGGTTCTCAGCTGTCGGCCAAGTCTTCGTACGTAGTCCATTCGCCAGTGCGGCTGTGGCGACCTGACAGACTGTGCATTGTTACAGCAGTCTCCCATGCGCGTGACAAGTTCTTTCGATTTCAGGTACCCTGCCGTAGAAGGGCACCCCCATTGTCAATTGCAGTGGTGGCAAGATGCCCTTCCTCATTCGACAAAACGTGTCCCCAAGCCCAACTTAGCGAAAAGAATGGGAGATGCTCGGAACTAAGCCAATCACCCTTGATCGGCGCTTCTCTTTCCATAATCCATTGAGCTGTGATGCCCACCACCTGACCATGTGATGATCATGAGCTCCAGGATCACGGAGTGATGGACTTCAAATCAGGTTGAGGCTTCTACACCCACTTCACGCAAGGCCAAAGGCATGAAACGCAGCAACACGATTGCCTTGATCATAGCTCATCATGTGCAAGAGGTCCACCACCCTGGCACGTGCCGCATGTCACAGCATCACACACTGGTAATTACTCGTGCTAGTATGTTGGCATATTGATCTCCTGCCTACTTGTAGCTACGAGATATATATTGCTGTCTCATATTATGCACATGCCAATTGCATGAAATCACAGCGGCTCCAAAACCAAACCCGTCATGATCTCATGGCAAACTCTGGGTGCGTGACTCTGCAATACCTGCGGAGAGCTTCAAGATTCTGTAGCTGGACGTTCAATTGAAGGCGTGCTCTGGCCATGCACGGTTCGGGGCACGATGTTCCTTCAGCAATTGTTCTTGCCGACCGTCAGGATAATATGCCATTGTGATCACCTACCACATCGAGACAGCAAAGCGGCATACTCCAAACTGTATTGGCAATCTTCGAACCGCTGCAACTATTACCTGCTGACGCCGATGCGCTGCGCGGCCTTGGAATTCCACTTGTGCTTTGCGAACATCGCTCTCGTTGAGAACCTTTCGTTGCATAGCTGGCCGCTTGTGCAAGCTTGCGCCCGATGCTCAGTGTGCGACACAAGCTTGGACAAGCCTTTGTAGTCCGCGTTCACCTCTCGTTGAGGTCGCCGACTTCCGTGGCGTTACAAAAGCCAAAGCTGCCATAACTTGGCACCTCCTCCTCGGAAAGGTAACCCTGTCCGAATCCTCGGCTGAGACGAAACCATCATATTCCAGACCACAGCCCCGGCGAAAGGCAGACGCAGACTTGATGAGATGCTGCTGAGTGGCGATAGCCTGGGTATTCCCAGTTGTAATCTACCTCAGCGGTTGTTCAGGCTTGGTATGTGCAGTCCATGCTGAAGAATCTGGGGAAGCCACACCGTCTAGATCGTATTTTGCGATGAAGTTCGCGAGCTCCTAGCAGGAACGAGCCCGCAAGGATTGCAACCGCTTCGCCTGCTGAAGCACCCTGCACGAAAGCTGGGGCAGCTTCGGCACAAAGATCCAAGTCTGCTTTGTTACGAACCGAGGGGCCATCCTTCGATGCGAAGTTGGAGCAGCGCCGCGAGTGCTTGCCGCATGCTCACTCTCGCAGGAACCGACAATCCGGAGGTCGAGCGTGACCCTACACGTTAAATGTCTTCGCAGACACTTTCGCAAAAGATCCTATCTGGGAGCGTCCCACGCCGCAACTGCAAAAGAAGCCGCTGCAAGCTTCATTGCGTCACACCGCGTCAGGCAAACGAGTGACACCTCGGCGTCCGCAAGCAACATCATGATATGCAGGAAGCCCCACTGCCTTGTCAAGTGTCCTAAAGCTGACAGCTGCATGGCATTGGCTGCTGCTCTGCATAGCGCTGGAGGGTTTGGCGGGATGTAAGCTTGTGTGCGGACTGGCCTAGACTTAAAACACGAGTGTGGTTTGGGATCTAACGTATTTTTCTGTCAAGGTGCCGATCATGGAATCGCGCGTGATGATTTCCTGCAGCTTCTCTTCCGACCAGTTCTCGGTACCTGAAAGAAAGATGCCCTCAACACTTAAGGTTGTTTCAAGCCTCAACAGTCAGTAGTAGTGTTAGAGCATCTCAGATTCCCCAATACTCGAGAAACACGCCAGTACTTGACGAGATGACAGAGATGATTCGTTGCCTTCTCCCAGTCCCCAAAGCCATACCCATCCCCGTCCTACCACCTCAACCACATACTGACCTTTGGTTAGTAGGGAATAGAGGAATGGGGTACAATTACAACTACTATTACTACCATTTCTTCCATTCCCTACTAACCAAAGGTAAGCATAGCGGGCTTGACTGAGGAGCACAACTCTAGTTTTCACAGGCGCATGCTGCGGACTGCACATGCACGAAGCTGGGGACACCCTGTAACACTGCAAAAAGCTAAGAGCGCCATGTGGCACCTGCCTGAAGAATGCCACATGCCGCAACTTGGGTTGAATCAGCACGAACCCTTGCGATGCGCACAGGCATATATTATATAATTAGACATGTAACAGACCGCAAACCATGGTCTGATCCAGGATATGCCACTACTTTTGACACAACAGAGCCCTCCAAAGATCTCTAAAGCCTCAACCCCATCCCTACACCTTAGTCTTGCTTAGTTGCTGAAGGGGCTCAGTAAACAGTTTTCTAGTCACTTTCTCTGGATATATGCACGTCCGACTATAGTTAACTTACCTATTGCCCTACAACTGACTCCCCTGATCCTTTATGAAAGCAGTTCAACACCTGATGAACTCAGAGCGGCCTTTCGGACGATTTGGAAGAATCAGAAAGCGGCAGTCGGCGGTGGAATCATGCACCACCACCTGTAGCTTCTTGTTTTTGTGAGTTCAGACCTGGTTTAGGCTTAGGCTTTCAGATGTCACGGCGTGATTGCAGTGGTTGGCTTATCGACTCGTTTCCCTGGCTAGTCCCCTCGCTGCTTGCCACAGCAGACTTTGCAAGAACGGTGGTAAGGGACAGGATCTCAGGCATCTCAGGAGACGTCCCTACGGAAACAGCGTAGAACTCCTTGAGGGATGTATGAACCACAGTGCAATTTGGGGTTTCGGTGAGCTTTCTAGGCTTCGGAACCGTATCCGCAGTTGAGCACATCGCGGGCCGCACTCCTTAGGATAGTATATAAAATAGGCCTTTGCGGCTCCTGGTCAGCTTCTGGCAAGGACTGCGTCGAAACCCCGAAGTCCTCAACCAGTTTGCATGCCCGGCTCTTACCTCCCGGGCCTGCATGTCAGCAGGAATGTCGGTTCCGAACTCTTTCAACACGGAGCGAGGCTCACGTACAGCGCGTGATCGGTATTCTCGAGACTTGTACCTGAGAGGGGATCCCAAAACCAAAGGACCCACGTTTTATGGGGAGTGGGCTGCTGTCCGTCTGAAAGTATAAGGAAGCCCAGCAGCCAATCTGGGGAGAGCCCCAGCAAGGTCAGCGGGTAGCAGCTACCTCAAAATATCATGCAGCACGGTTCAACACTGTCTTGCATGGAGCGTTAAGCCTGGTCCAGCGTCGCCTGTGGAAATTTCAGTTTCAGCAAGTTGCCATCAACAAGGAACATCAATTCCTGGATCATGTACTGCAATCTGAACCTCAAAACAACACGATAAAGTCCGAAACATTTGGCTCAAGCTGGGTCGCAGAGGGTGCAGACGATCAGGTGGTGCTCCTCTCTACAGCTGTTTGCTGCTTGAATACCGTTTGCACGGGCTCCTCACACCACTACATGAACCACCCGGCTCTAGGCGCGCGAGCTTCATGAAATCATGTCCGATCTTGCAGCAGCACCAGATTCTTAAACCATGGTTGCTACTAGCCTTGTGAGTTTGGAAGTGGTCAAAAAATCATCACGTTAAATATTTATTTTTATGTTCCATTGATGTTTCGGTTATGCTTTTCATTTATGGAAAAATATGATATAGATTGGATATGATTCTACTATGGTTTTATTATGTTTGTAAGTATGGCTTTGCTATGAAAAAAGTGATCGGAACCATTACTTTTTTATGAAAACTTTATGATATTTTTAATTTTTCAGGTTTGCTCAGAAAGCCAATCATTTTGTAGTGCAATGGCAAAGAATGACGATACCCGCAAAACAAATTGAGCTCTGAATTGTATAGTGAAATCATCATAAAAATCATAGTGAAAACATTGTCAAAGTGGGGTCACAGTCTGCCAGGGGCGACTTTCCAGCTTCATAAATGGCAAACCATATTGAAACCATATAAATCATCATTCAACAAAACATTTTTTGACCAGCGCCAAAATTCACGATACTAGCCTTACCATACTACTAACATCATTCTGATATTGCGACGTGTTTTTTTCGTTACTTGCATTATGCATGAGCTGGAACCGGGTTCCGAAGGCCTCAGGCTTCTGCTCGAAGACCACGAGCCGCGTAGGTGCCGTCGGATTCGTCGCTGAGATCCCCAGCTCCGAGCACGCGCTGTTGGCATCAGAGAGCAGCCGGGACTTGAACCTCGGGTCTTGGGTGTTTTGAACTCTCAGACAGAACTCGGACTTGCTCGATTGAAGGCGAGGGGTTTAGGGACAGGACGGTTTGACCTTCGCTGGCTTCGGGCTGTGGTGACTGAACTGCCCACTGCCCATTGCAGCAGTGCTCCCGGCCTGGTGCTGACGAGTTTAAAGAGTTCGGTGCTGACACTCGCACAGTCCAGGCGAGGCATATGGTTCGAGGTTTCTAAAGAGTTCGATATCTTGATCATGACAAGACTTCTGAACCCGCAGTGGGCGGAAGCTCATTGTCACTGCGACGGCGAGGAGTGTCATGGAATTGCCACCTATTATACATCTATTGTAGAACCCTATTATAGATCCATTATAGAGCCCCTTTAGGAACCCTTTGAGGGATCCCGACCGTTGCTAGACTTCAGCTGGTGGCCACAGTAGCTAGCCGAGTCCCATCTTGCGGACAAGTTCTAGTTAATCTAGGAGCCTCAATAATTAGAATAGGACTCCTTTAAACGGGTCTATACAAGGGCTACTACAAGAGATCTATGAGGGTCCTATAATTCAGGGGCCTTAATAATTAGAATAGGGTTTTGGGATTATAACAAAGTTATAACCCAAGATAGTATAGGTAACTATTGAGGCCGCTATACTAAGCTTAAGCCTGCTGGGTAATCCCAAAAAGGAACTCCTATGGAGCCGCAGCCTCTGGGTACGCACACATACATACACTCGCCAATTTCTTGGTTTGTTGCGACGCACCTACTTAATACTTACCATAGGGTTCCTTTAAAGGGGCTACTATAAAGGGCTACCTATAAGGATGTAATATGTCATAGCTGCGTATTATGCGCAGTCCACTGAACTGATAGAGTCACACATGTAACCCACACGCAAGGCAAACTTGAGGCGCGGGCGTCTCGTCCTTGGCTGGGCTTTATGCCATCTTCGATGCTTAGGGATTCTCACAACAAGGCTCGGCACCTTGAAGCCTGCAAGATCTGTCGTGTGATTGATGCATAATAATACTCATGGCAATAGCGGCGAAAAGCAAACCAAAAATAGCCACGACTGTAGGACACGAACTACTGTATTCGTTGTCGCACTGCGGCGAATTCCTGTGACTTGGAGCGCTATGAAATAAGAAGGTCCAAGGTTCCGTCCAAGCCCTTGCCACCACGCGACGTCCGACCTCGACCACTCAGACTAGGTCTGTTTGCAGGCATACGGAAAAGACCTCCGAATCGCGAAACGAACTGAACCCATCGTCACATGAAGGTGTGTTGGCAATGAGAGCTTCAGAAAAAATAACCCGAAAACTTGTGAAAGGTGCTTCAGGCGCTCTCAATGGATCTTGCACAGAGTCTTCCCCAGCACTAGTGACCGTGCACATTCTGGTTTCAACGATCATGCGAGAAGTCGGTCTTTTGGAAATGGTCCCAGTCAAGGCACTGCTCCTCGCTGCTGCTCTCCTGCATCCACCTGCAGGCAGAAGTCAGGACCCATCTGTTCTTAGCGTTCGTATTACTACCATTGTCACCCTGACTATCCTTCAAGTTCAGGGACCCTTAGTTCCTAAGTAGAAACCCCGAGCACTTCCATGAAGAGCCCAAATCACTATCTGGCCTTCTCAATGCCGACTCGAAGCTCCTCCGCGGCGATGACGCCTGACACAGCTGCACGGGCTAAGAGGTATATGAACGGGTAGCATACGGTTCAGGGTTGGGGGAGGGAGCATTACAATAGTTCGTTGAGGAAGCGACAGCGCAAGATGATGGACGACCTGGTGAGCAGTGCCAAAGGACACATGCAAATCTTTAGGTATGTGGAAGTGAGCAGGCATACGTGCATGTGAGCCGCTCTCACACATTCTTGGACTGAGGGAAACTTCCTGACTCATGTTGGCCACGGGCATGTGTGCAGGAACGGGGTTCGCAACCTACAAATGCTGTTATGTAAATGTCCAGATCGAAGATGTGTGTGTGTGGGTGTATCTAAGACACAAATTATGAAAGTTCAAAACTCCTTTGCTCGACAGCCGCTAGGGGCCTTTGCTCAGCAAAGCCGACACCAATGCGCGGGCAATTGCGGGGCAGGCAACCTGACCAAAAACTGCCATGAGTTCGTTTCCGTTCCCAATGCTTACCATTGCAAGGCAGGCTGATAGGATGATCAGGCTTGCCAGTGATGGGTTATCGGTTATCTGATGAGGGTTCATGTTATCCCACATGAGTATACAAGAAAGGGGTGTCAAACAGTGCAAGAAGCTAACAACAAACCCATAATTAGTATAGGCACAACAAGAAGAACAACCACAGCAACATAAGCCAAACCAAACAACCAAACGCTGAGGACATTGCTCAACCTCCTCCTCCTCCTTGTGTGACTGGTCCCACCAGTCCTACAATTCTAGTACTCCTGCTCCGCTGCTGACCGTGGCGCGCTACTTCTTCTAGCACGACTCACTACTCACATTTCCACCATGTTGAGAACTGTGAGACACTCTCTTCTTTGCTGCACAGTGAGCCTCCTCATCTACGGCGCGCTGCTCAACAGTGTGCCGCTCCTGGCCGAGGTTAGATGCCAAAGATTTCAATATTCAATTCAGGCATCAGGCCACACGTACGCTCTCGCAACTCGGACAAGCCAGACAGTGTCAGGCCCCCCTTGGGATCTTGACTTCAGCTTCGACACATGAACCCAGCAAGTTTGACCACTGCTCCTTATTAGGTCTAGTTAGTTTACGGCCGCGGGCTGTTCGAAGCAGCCACATCCGGAAGTCTACACACCGAGAGGGCGAAAACAAACGCCTTTCAAGCACCGGAGGGGGCGGCAATATGCGGAACTATAGGGACCTGCATCCCATCCTGATCCGCGGGGGTGCCTGCACAAATCCCTCACCAAGATATGCCCGTCCTCGTGAACGTGGTCGTGGCCCTTGGGTGTGCAGGCAAGTACCCATACGAACGAACGGGTCTGCTTGTCGCAACGCTCCTGCTTCAGTCACAGTACAGCTTAACGTCAGGGCATCCGCCAATCCTCGGAGTCAGACACCGATTGAAAACCAAACTGTTACGATCGAACTTGAAGAGGGTCGAGAGTCGAGTCAAGCACCAAACTCTGAAACTTTCAACCCTGCGACTTTGAACTGCAGCCAGGAGCCTCATGCCCCGGGTGATTCTCGGTACGGGCTCTCTTGCAGTCCTGTTGGATCGAAGAGGCATCTTTCCCTTTTAAGGTTTTGGGTTTAGGGGTTCGAGGCTCGGGAAGTGCAAAGAAACGTCTTAAGCTGTGTCAGGGATGACGAGCGGGGACAAAGCTACGATCCGAACTACGTGCCTGGTTTCGGATGTGCAAAAACGGAAGGGACTCTCTCCACTAGGGTAATAACAAGGTAAGAGCGCCTGGTACGTGACCGGCGTTTTGTGGCGTAGCTGAAACAGGCAATGTGCTAAAACCTAGGGAAAACGTGTATTATGACTAAAAAGTTGTGCTAGGAGAGGCGGAGAATCCCTGTGACAGGTCGATCGTTTTAGCGAAAAAGGTGTTGCCGCTGCAGCAAAAGCCACTTTTGCGAGCACCGCGCTGCGCAAACTTGGTCTGAGTGGACGTTAATATGGTTGACCCATGGATGCTCTGCGTCAATGAGATCTGGTCTGAGTGGACGTTAACATGGTTGACACATGGATGCTCTGCATCAAGAACATGGACCACCCATGGATGTTTTGGGCGACGTGGGTTGTAGCAAGTGCCGAACACACCGTAATTACCGGTGTGTTCGGCATATGACCCTAAGGAAGCATGGCTTCGATCAGAACTAGAGCTTGGGCCTGCCTGCGACAGAAGTCCACAGTTCTGGGAGTTAAGGGTCGGGACTGGCCGGAAGTAGCCCCCCACCCACACCCCCCCCCCCCCACACCCCCACCCAAGAAAAGTGCCAGGACGTACAGGACGCACACCAGGCGCTCTCACCAATAACAACTCTCTGACTAAAACAAGGAGCAGCAAAGCCTAATCCCCAGACAAGACCGAAATCGACGGCTGAACTCGTTGACAGGACCTATACCCCTAGGCGTCACTAAGCGACTGTCATTCCGAAGCGCAACTGCCACAGTTTGAAGAGTTCAGGGCTTGAGGCTCCAGGAGTCTGGGGTTCCAACTCTCACAACTCAAGCGAGCCGGAACTTGGGAATGAGCTCATGGCCTTGTTGGCTAGGCTTTGTTTCGACGTCTTGAGATCAGAGGAGGCATAAGCATGTGCTGTGTCGCAGACGAGTGCCACATTGGGAGGAGGAGGAGGAGGAGGACAGAAACAACCTACAACAGCACCATACAGCGCCTATCGTTGAATGCAGGGCACTGGCAAGGCTAAGTCCGCTAAGTGGAGATAGCTCTAACTATAAGCCCCCTTACAAGTTTTAATGAGTTAGAATTTGTAGAACCCTGGACCTGAAACCCTGAGCCGCCCAACTACAGCGCAACCTTTCGGGCAAATGCTTCTTGCATCCAGGCCTATTGCGACGGTCGGGTATCCATGAAGATGCTTGACCTAGTCACCTCGTCAACCCTGAATCCTCAGCGGTAAACCTTAAAGCAGTGGTAACAATCCTAAACCCTAAACCCAGCCACCCAGCACTAAACCCATAAAAACCCATAATGGAAAGCTCTGACCATCTTGGGCCAGGCGGCTGGGTGAAACTCAGCATCGCCGGGGCCAGTGCTCGCAGAGCGCTTCGTCCGCTGCTGCTGGAGCCTGCTTGCGCGTCTTGCGAGGGCGGAGGAAGGGGTCGAGAAGGCTTAGAGGTGAGGGCGTTTCAGGACTTGGGGCTGACTCTCGTTCTCGCACAAAGAAAATGGTGATGCCTTAGGATCTGCATGGCCAGAGGATTAACCATGAGTTTGCAGTGGGCTTGAATAAGAGTAGAAGGCTGCCATGGCCCATGGGTGTTGCACATGCTGTGCATGCTTGCAAGCTTCTTTGGTTGCTTAGGTACGATTTGGATGTGTACGTGTAGACTTTTCAACCGGGATTCGTACCGGTCAGTATTGGCTTCAAGGCACCAGGTTTCTGGGAAGTTTGCGTGGGAATTCGTCGCCTGGAAAAAAACCCTGGAGTACTATAGCAGAGGCTGCTTATGGTGTGTGGTGGCGGGGCCCCAGAAATTATACTAACTGGACGACACAACTCGGAGGCGAAGTTGTAGTGTACAAACAGTTCAAACGCGGCCTAGAAGGCCCTGGGACTTTGCTCGAACTGTCACATCGACCGACAACTTGCTCATCGAATCAGATATCCATTGATTGAAGATGGGAAGTTTTCGAAGAGGTGCTTACAACTGCACCAACCCGTAGTAAGGAGATCATCCAAGAACGTTCCTGTCATAATCCAGATGCAACCTCCACCGCCTGTGCCACAGTACATCGAGACCCGCTCTTGTGACAAATTAGATTTAGCAACCCGCATGTGGAACTGTTTCGTGTACCAAAATGCAGCTAAACCCTAAACCCTCAACCCTAATTGATCACCTACAGTTACAGGAGCCGAACTGAAGCACTTCTCGCGGCATCTGCGATCTAGTTGCGCAGCAGCGTCTGCTGGCTCGAGCCAGCTCTGGTAGATGTCTACCGTCACCTCCGATGGCGTGGTTGAACAACTGGCTAGTGCACCATGGAGGGGAAGGGCGGGGAGGGAGGGAGGGAGCAAGCGCAAGCGACGGAATAAGTGAGGAAGCATTCACAGGAGGCAGCCCGTCAGTAGCAGCAATAGCTTGCGACGAAGGCGAGAGCTTTCAAACAAGCCTACATCATATGTCCATGCCTGTCTTGTTCTTGATATTATATATATATATATACACACACACACACACATATTGTAACACGGCACAACACAGCAGGCCACAGTCTCCTCACCAGCATTCTTCAAGGCTTGCCTGGTCCTTTCCTCTCTCGCCTGCTTCGAAGTCCTGGATGCTGCCAGCATCGAAGCGAACTATGTACAGCCTGCACAGCCGAGAAAGTTTTGTTTTTCATCTGATAAGCACCGGAGATCACACAGTCGACCAATGTGGGCAGAGCAGCGGGCATTTCGACCAGCTTCTGCCGCCGAAGGCAAGCCTTCAGATTCGAGCCCGTGCGCGGGATTTCGGTGCGAATTTTGGGCAGGTTGAGTTTAGCTTAGAAGAAGAAACTGTCGGAAAGCTGCTGCGGAAACAGGCTCTCATGCATATGCAGGCTAGAGATTTGCTGGACAGCGGCTGAAGCTGTAGACACCCAAGAGTCAACCAGAGAACCCACCGACAGCTAGCAAGTCAAGAAGGCACCCCAGCGCATAAGAACCAGTGATTGCATACTGCTCGCATAAGCTCCATCAGCAACTCACGGGGTGTCAGGGCCATTTGCTCGTATAAATTGCCTATAGGCAGCAACTTATTCGTCATATTTCTTCGTTCAAACTTCTGTGTCATTGAGCACGCGGGCTTCGAGGACTAAGATGCTGAAGCCTCAAATTCTAGATGCAACCTTCAACATAGACTTAAGCAGTGACACCCCGGTACATTCTCAGATGGAGCACTGCTCTGGGTTGTCGAAACTTCCCACGCAGCGGTCCACCGTACCACCTGCGTGAAGCCAGGAGATTTTGGAGCTTGAGTTCCGATGTTGAAATCTCCTGACCCAGTCGCACTGCTCGAAACAAAGAAGATTCCCCTCCGGAGAAAAAAGCCTGCGCTTCAGGCTCGATGCCATGCTACACGAGCTGAACGGCTAAAACCGCTCAAATACATAATACCTTGAAATCGATGCCTCGAACACGAAAGCTGCCGCGAATCTATACAAGCCCTGAAGCCTACGCCTCAACTCCGAAATCCATGCCCGGATCCCTGACCACACCCTCTTATGCGTAGGCCGTCTTAGGGTTTACGGCTTTATATACGGGTTTAGTTTATGCAAGTCGGACGTGATGCCTTTGGGTGTCGGGGCACTGTATGGTTCTAGGCCCATTAACAGGTTTTTGGCTGCGGATTTGCATGCCCCGGCCCCAAATCTCAGAGACTTACGCAACACTGAGTGCCCGACAAACGCCATGGATGAAGCCAGGAGTTCGCAAGTGAGGACGGCGCCACCGGGTCGCATGAGATGCATGGCGCACCCTAACGACGTCTCCAGGGGAGAACCTGGGATCAAGATCTGAGGTACAGTGTTGGCTGTCAAGCAAAGTGTTTCGGGCAAAGGAGTTACCAGTTGTGGGTTTATTCTACTTGTGTCTCCCTCCCATTCACGAGACCCCTACGCTGCGCGAGCTCACGGGCTTCGACTAATGAAAACCTAAGGCCGGCTCACCCTACACTCTACACCCTTCAGATCCTACAAGACGTATAGGCCTTAGGCATCGAGTGGACACCCTGAACTTTTTGAACCCTCCTAAGCCTGAAACCCCCTAAAACCTAAACCCGTCAGGCCCTCGAAAAAGCCGAGGTGCCGCTGCACCGGATCCTCGCGGTCGGGCCCCAGCGCTTCAGCGAGTTCCTCAGAGTTTCATAGAGTTTAGGAGTTAGGGTTACTCGCTCGACGCAGGCACGGCTTCATGAGGTCTCGTTGCTACCGTGATATTCGGGCGGATGGGCTTCAGCAAGACAAGTATTCCGGCGGGTTTTCGGGTTTAGGACTTCGGTTTATCGATTGGGGGTGATGCTCCTGGACCAATGGAAATCAAAAAGAACAGAAACAAGAGCCGTTGCGATTTCAGAAAGCTCCCTTAGCTCTTTCTCGCATAATTACTAGCATCACTGGTGCTCTTAATGATACACATCGCCACCAAATTTTGCTTCAAGGACGATAAATTTTCTTTGAGAGGTTCGTGAAGCTGCGCACAGATGAGGCTGGCTCGAGGCTCTTGCATCACCCATCACTAAAGACTTGCTTGGAAATCCGAAGTCGCTCCTGGTTGCTGAGCACCTGATGCTCGAGCATGGCATTGGCCACAGCAATGGCCCACCTTGGGCTTGGGCTTCCTAGCTCTTTGGTCCTTTCGAACTGCGCTGACACATGTCCTGAGGTGCACTGGTATTTACACAGCATGCCGGTAAGATTGTCTCGAACAGCGTGGTGGCACGATGGCCTTCTTACACTTCGAGCACAGAGATTTAATTGGTGATGCCCCGACCCTGGTCGGAGAACCTGGCGACACGGATGCTTGTACCCAGAGAGTACCCAGAGTCCTGGGGGTACTTGTTGAGCTCTTCTGGAACATATGCATGCTTTCGATCGGCAGGGCTTCCGGTTCAAGATCTCATGACACGCGCACTCGTCTCCGGATGCTCCGCGGGCACGTGCTCTTGATAGCCCGGACACTTTTCGTAGTATGACGCATTCTTGTAGACCTCAGCCTCCTCAGCTTGGACATGATCTCGAGTGATTTAGGAAAGCATCTGCGCACACGGCAACTGCCAGCAGCATGGAAGCCTATAAGGAGCGACGGTACCCCTTGAAATTGCCCAGAATCCAAGTACTCCGTGCCACGCCGCACCTGGCAAGCCGTGTTTTGGGCACAGTCGTAGCATGTCATCGCGGCTGATTGAGTGGCAATGACATCCTCGAACCTTTAAGACTGGCTTGCCGGTACCAAATTCGCCTTGTCTATCAGACTGCTGAGATTTGAGAGTGCCCCACTCCACATCGATTGTGCAAAAGGGGAGCAAAAATCTATGCCGTAGCTGCATCAGAAAGGGGTGCTCCTGTCGTACCATAGACAGGTGCTGCAGCCCGCTGCGGCCTTACAGCCCCTGCTAGGATTCTCTTCAACCGTGATGTCTCATCAAGGCGTGTCCGCAAAGAATGACCGACAGGCCTCGTCAACCTTCATGTGCCCTTTGGCGACCAGCAGCATGACCGTCGCATGAATTTGACCTGATTGGCTCTGCGACACAGGCGAAGGCTGAAAGCATATTTTCTTGCGAACGGCTACTACCACTCCTCCGGCCACCAGCACCAGCACCAGCACCACCACGACTACGACCACTGCTACGGCGACGACGGCCCAACGCAACAGCTCCAACTCTTTTTTCTTCTGTTGCTCTACTCAGACGGCTGAAGGGTTTAGTTGCACAGGGAGAAGCCCAAGCCATGAGGTCAGTGCATCGGAATGGGTGCACCTGAAAAGCTTCTGACCAGCTCCTCAATACATCAGGCATATCGCCTGGTCACCGGTGAAAAAATCAATGTGCGACGAATCAGCTGAGCAGTGAGCAGCTCAGCTATTATATGCCCACTTCAAATCACTTCAATATATTTGGCAATTTTGCTTGCCTTCACACCCCTTAAGGGTGCAACATTGTCAGACATCGAATTAAAACCACACCGAAGGCCAAGCCCCTGATGTCGCCTGCTTTCGACGTGCCTGTTCCTGGCAACATCGCCGGCGTCGTCGTCGTGGTGGTCGTCGTGGTGCAATAGGTAATGTTCAATCGTGGTGCAGCAGATGCAACCCCTTCATAAGATTCGTACTCACGGCTTTGTGTGGTACTATTGGCGGTGGAATTGCCAAACATGACCAGCACACCGTTCGACGCATTCTGGGCGATAACTTGGCTGAGGAGGTCCTTCAACTCTGCAGACACAGCCACGTCACCGGTCTGCACATCCAGATCGGGCTCGTAGGTCACCCTGGAACTGGTTGATTGCGAGTTGTAGATGTTCAGGATGCCCTGCGTGCGAGATTCCGAACATTGAAAACCATCTCTTATTTTCTCAAGCCGTCAAGTACGAACTTAGTCGAGGTGGCGAGAGATGTGAAGATGCCACTGATTTTGCAACCAGGTTTGAAGCTAGCTTGGGTACGGTTCAAAGCGGGTCACACCCAGGGTTCTGGGGCGCGTGAATGCCTGCCAGTGAGTAGAAAGCTCTTGGGCTTCAGCTACATGGATGGTCACGTAAAGCCCGGAGGATATTTCAAACGTGCTGCGATCCTGCTGGGTCAAATTGTCGTCGAAGATTGAAGCATCCGATGCCATGGCCACCGTCACTGAGAAGCGCTCGGAGCAGCAGCTCCCGACGGCATCGACGGTCAACACAACTTTTGCACTTTCCACATGCACCTCCCAGCAATGCTGCAGATCAAGAAATCTGAACATCGATTGATTCCAAAATTATACGGGCCTATCGCAGGTCCAGAATCTACATGTTGAGAGTCGTGGCTTTCAGTCCACCTCCTTCTCTGTTTCTGAAAGCCTGCTGACACGCTCTGCGCTGCAGGGAATGTCGCAGGTAAGAACCCCAACTCCCCGAAGTCTTCGCAATCGTTGGCTCCCGTTTCGAGGCCGGATGGGGGGTTGGGTCAGCGCGAAGTGGTTTTCTGCCAAAAGCGGGAGGCTTTCCGCAAGTCTATGCAAACGTCCGCGAGCATCGCACCCCCCACCCTTTTAGGCTTTTGGCATGGCATGCCGTCCAAACGCTCAACTGTCACTGAGATCAAGGGCGGGGGGTGGTCTGCAAAACGTGTACGTGTGTTTGTACGTGTGTGTGTGTCACTTCCGTTGTATGGCTTGCGCACTGTCCTTTGCATCTCAAAGGGTCGAACGTCTCACAGATCGTGTGGGTTGGGGACCCGGAGCATGCAACTGTCGCCACTTATTGTTCCACATGTCACCCCAGGTTGTCTTCTTTCAGCGCTTTCAGCGCTCTTGGAAGACATCAGATGAAGACATCAAGAGTCAAGAGGTCTAGATATAGGTCGTCTCGAACGAGGTTGCGACATGCAGTCGTCACGCTTGTTGACAGGAAGTCCTGGGCGGGGTCATGCGAGAGAGGATCCTGAAAGAGATTATGAGAACAGGATACAAAATCAAGTCTCGAAACAGGTTGTCACGGACGGTTTTTTCAAGAGCTCATGCAAAGGGAAGACATTTCAATAGGAACTATCGAAAGAAACCAAGCTGTCCGGCCGAGAAAAGGCGTCCCGAAAGAGGTCTTGAGAAGAAAGTCTCCAGTCCTAGAAGAGGTCCTTCGCGGAGGCACAATCGTAGTTGCAGAGGGAGAGGCTGCACAGAGGTCGCAATATCAAGATGGCAAAAGAGGTCCAGAAGAGGCCTTGACACGAGAGGCTGTGGTGTGAAGAAGTCTCGAAGAGGTGGTGATGTGAAAACGCAAGGGGTTGTGCAAAACTTCGAAACAGATCTGCAAAGATGCTCCGACAAGCTCTGCTACAAAAGAAATCCGCAACTCTCGACGCTCTGCTTGGATGGGTACTTCATCTGGCTACAAACGCACGTCCGACCAGGCTTCACCCAATCGGACGCCAGGGAAGCTCTGGAATCCTTCACGACGTGTGAGGCGAAAATTTTGCAAGCTGCAGCTTTGGCACCTCAGGAGGAAGGCTGACATTCCGAAACATCAGGGCGACGAGCTGGGCACCGCCGGTGAAATGGTCATAGCCTTGTGCTAGCTCTCATCGGGCCGGGGTTTGGGCCGCTTCCGTTAGCAACTCGAGGTTCATGTCCCCGAAGCCTCAACGGCCTCAACGTAGCCTTTGCTACGATGCGCGGGACTCTTCGGAATAAGTTTCTAGCATCATTCCCAACCCTCCGCATCTCCGAACGGTCACGTTTCTAAAGACGAGTCATGACCATCACAGTAGTCATCCAGGCCTGTTATGCTCTTTCGGTCCACCCAACAAGGGACCCTAATTTTGACAACCACCTACATGCGATTGCCACTTTCACTTCCGCCCAGCTGCCCGAGGATCGAGTTGCCTCCGTTCTCACATTGGGCCATTGGGTGCAATCCCAGCCGTATGTTTCCGAAGGGGGGCAGGGGAATCGTTTGAGCGTGGAGGCCGAAACTCAAAACCCACAGCTCTCACTCTACAGGCTCCTGACCTTTGGAGCCTGTAACTTTGGCGCCGAGCAGCCAAATTCGAGGTCGGAGGAATCTGTGTACCAGCCTCTCCCTGCGTCTGCTCCATTGGCCTGGTACACCTCGACGTCGTCTGCCCCGCTGGATATCTGGTAACTCACCTCTGAGCTGGGAGTGTTCTTAGGGCTCCAGTCGATTACCTCACCGAAGCTGAGGCTAAAGGCCCTTTATTTCCCGCAAGAGGGGCTTCAAACACATGGAAGCGTTTCACCAGCGCGCCCATTTCGTTGGCAACGTTTCCTTGCTAAGTTGTCGCATCGTTATAAGTTCAGTCTCATGACCCAGACATCCAAAACTGCCCCACCTCCATGGTGCTACCAGTCGGACACGACCCATAGGCCACGGCCCAGCGGGCAAGAAAAGACCATGCCCAAAACCTTCGCACAAGTTTCCGTCAAATCCGCGAGTACACGGATAGGGGCAAGGTGCGGGTTCAGTTGCATGGCCCGGCTTCTTGTTAAAAGTTTGTGGCTTTGATGGCCCTCGCCGTGTGACTTCACCTGTTACCGTGGCCTCAGGCTTTCATGTCCCACAAAACCAAGCAAAGGATTGCTTGTGCTGACAGCTGGCCAAGACATGCCCTCACGAGCACCTTTGACCACTTCCATCTTCCACGTGTCAAGTGAGCCGACAGGGCTGCAAGCAGGACGTTTCGGGAATTGCGCTCTGACAGCCAAGCCAAACAGGAAACATACAAAACGTCCAGAAGGCCTACCCAGGACCTCGACTCTTCCTTTAAGTTACTCATACAGCTACTACTGCTTCGGTGATTGTGTTCATCCCGTGTCCATATGTCCACTGTCCCATCAGCATGTTTATGCACGACCCAGGTATCGGCAAGCAACAGAATTGAGGGCGGCACGTTCCCAAAAGGCATGGATCCTGTCCCCCTTCTGTGGCAGCGTTGCTGAGGCGGCGATGGCAGGGAGGGTGCCCATGTCATGATGGCCGATCGGTGCGGACATGGCGCTCCACAATTGCAATCACAACAAGCTTCAGGTCTCGTTTTCTGCAGCTTCATTCTAAAAACGCATAGTCACACGGCATCGCGGGTGAAGAATCTTCTGGCGGCGTTTATCTCTATCCTTCCTGATTCCACCATACTTGGTCATAGATTGTAGACGTGAATATGGAAGCAAGAGCCATTTTCAGGATACTCAGAATCTGAAACATAGAAGCCCTAGCCATAATAACGCCCCTAAGACTGCATTAGATATCATGACAAAAGCCACGACTTCATACTCAACGCTGTCATCCAGCCTCAACTTGCAGTTCTACTCCAACTGGAGCAAATATTTGTGTGGTCGGTTCCGCTCAAATGCAGCTGCAACGGACAAGGGCACTTTGGCTTGTGCAAACTCCTGTCTGCTAGGAGCATGTATGCGCTGCGGACTCTCTAGCTGGGAGGAGCAGGCATAGGGATGACAAGCATCAAATGCAAGTAATCGCAAACCGAAATGCCAGCTGGTTCAGGTCTCGCATGGGCAGCAATTCGGTCAGGCGATGTGGGTTTTATCTGCTCGACATAAACTATACGTAACTATGCTGTCGTATGGTGCTACCTGGATAATCGCATATTGCCACTGTTGGTCAGTGCTGCTCCATGGAAAGCCGAGCACCAAATAAGTATATCCTTGTAGCTTCGACGGGCTGGACGCCATGTTAGAAGTGCCGGACAGTACATGTTTCCTTGTTGGATTCCGCCAACTACCGCTGAGAGGCTTCCCCTACTCGTATATAGATACTCTCGGGGGGACGTTCAAAACGAAATCAGCTAACAGCCAACCCAAACCTACTCTGTTTTTGTGTCCTGGACGAAACGCGTCCGGCCCTTCTTGCTCCGAACCATGGGCGAAAAGCCTGGTGCGGGACAGAGTCTGCGCACTGTGAAGGATGTCTGAGCCATGCTGGAACTTATTATCCGACTTGTCCCCATTGCCCGCAAAAGAAATCTGAAGTGGTGCTGGTTTCAAAAGATTCCCGAGGGCTGTCCGAGCACTTTCGGGTTCTAGTCTCCGGCTCCGCCACTGGGACAATGCGGATGGCAGGTGGTTGAGTTCTCTGTGGATGCAGGCACCTTTCACTTGCAAACCCTTCGCCAAATGTCACCTGATTACCACCACGTACGTTAAACTTTACCACTGCCATGCGCCCAGAACCCGAAACTCTACACCCTGAACCGTGTGCGCTGAAACCCGAAGCTCCACACCCACTTCTAAGCTCACTTCAACTACGTGGAGCAGGCCTGCTGAACGGCCGTTGCCACCGAAGCCTGGGATTGGTGGCTAAAAGAATGAATGCCGCACAGGAGTACGTAACCTAGTCGTATAAAAACCACCCGCTGTACTGAATTTAGTGCTCTTTCTCGGCTTCAAGGCCTCCTGCGCTGAGCTTGTTCTTGCGGCAAGATCTTCCCCCTTCTTCGACATGATACCCCCCTCTCTTCAAACCTTCCCACACATCCACAGACAGTCCTTCCGAAACTCCAACAAACCACATGTCCTAAGCACAAAATGGCACCCTGTGCGTCGGACTTTTTCATGGCAAGGCCAAGCAGACTGAAGCATGCTAATGCAGAAGCAGCTGAAAACGAGAAAATCGTCACAGAAGACCGAAAAACGCCACCGCTGAGCTGATAGAGCTCTGCTGCGGCGCAAAACTCACGCGCACTGGGTCGTGAAGAACAGAATGCTGCAATCTATCGTTGAAAGTACATTCGGTGCGACGTCCTTGCAAACGCATACCTGCTTCGTATTCCATGCTCTCAGCAACACGCCATAAGAGCCTCGCTCAATGCAGCCTTCCTGCGTTACCAAACATGTAGATCCACGATGTGTGTGTGTGTGTGTGTGTTATATATATATATATATATATAGATGTCGAAGCACATATACGCTCACATGTATCTACGTGCTCGAAAATCTATATCTGTATTGTGTTTACATTGTATTTACACATATGCCCTCTACGCTCTCACACATATGCCCTTTATAAGTTTCAGGGTTTACTTGGAGGTTCATGGGTAGTTATAAGTAGAGTCCTAAGTAGGGCAGCTATACTATACTTTTCACCCATATGAGGGGGCTTTTTACCCCACTTG